TCTGCTCGTCCACAAAAACATGAAAAAATGTTTCTAAAAATCAGTTCCATGGATCCTAAAACTCCAGAACAATGTTTATCCTATTACAGGATTAATGCTAATTATCATTATTATTATTATTATTATTATTAGACGTAGCGTCAGACTCATCAGCTGTGGAGTTGCAGGTGATTGTGGGTAATGTAGGCAGCAGGTTTGAAAATCAGAATCAGTTTTTTCAGAAGACTGATTCCTGCTCTTATGAAAACCAACAGCAGCTTTTCTCTCTCAGCTCTTTGCATAAACGCCACCGTTCAGCACCTCCGCCGCTCGTTTTCTGCTCCCACACATGAATAAAAGAAGCGACGATGGCGGTGATGAAGACGGCACCGATTTCTGAACTCACTTTACAACCACAACGCTCGTTTTAACTCTTTGGCTGAATCTCTGAACTTTGCGGGACGTCAGCGGTTTTTTTTCCGGACACGTCTCGACACGACTCGGTTCTGCTCGCGTTGACGTCCACGTTCAGCCTGCAGCTCTTGGAAACCGGCTTCGTCGCACATATTTGCCGCAGGTTCGTGCACGTCCGGCGCTCGCATGCTTAACGGGGCGTGTTTGACGAACGAGCAGCAGGAGGCTGATTTGGGTCAGAGCGGTTGAGCAAACACCTGAGACGGGCGTCGGCGGCTAAACGCTCGCTCGCGGCGAGGAGCTAATTCCTGAGCGGGAACACGTGACGCCGACCTGCAGCCAGGTCTGGAGGCTTCCTGACAGAGATGTTCTGGCTCGTAGTTCCATCATCGCGCCGGGAGCTGTCGGGTCTGTCGGCTCGGCGAGGCTTAAGGCCGCCGTTAGTTAGCGGCCGCCGCTAGCCGGGCCTTAAGGCTTTGTCCACACATCACCACAGCTGATTGCTCCTGTGGATGGTTGGGATTCTCGGCTAAGACAGGGATTACTGACCCATGTCGGCTTCCCACCTTTACAGCAGCCACTTCGATGTTCACCCAGTCTGAACTCTAACGCCCCGGAGAATTGAAAAGACGTGTGAGTGGGTGAGTGTGTCCACACAAGCCCACAGCCATCACACACAGCTTCAGAAAGCTTCTGTCTGGAAGGGAAACTGTGGTGAATTTAAAGGTAAATAAAGGAACCAAACAAGTTTAAAACAGCCTCATTTATGGCGTAAACTAACAAAACATAACAAAAAAAATACATGAAAATCAGCGTTCACCAGTAATATAATAAAAACATAAGCATAAAAACTACAATATTCTAACTTATGGAGATGAATCTGTCTAACGTTGAGCTGAAATACACATAAAACCCAACAAATCCACAGATTCTTGGATCTCTGTCAGCACACGTTCCTGTTCTTATTGTATATGTATTATTTCTTATTAATTAATGTTTTTAATTTAATTTAAGGAGCCCATAATATGCCTGTTTGTTTTTTCTTCAGCGTATTATTTTGCTGCTGGAAGCCGTGTGTCCATGTGATGTAAGGGTTCAATGGAAGATACAGTAATGTTGTCCAGTCATTCAAAGATGCAAAATTTGAATTTAGTGTTATTTAAAGTGGTAACTAACGAAGTGATTTGGATTAAAAATCAAACTTTATTGGACTATAACAAATATTATGGGTAAGAACCAGCATCATCATTAATAATGGACGTTAATGAGGCTAATTTTGAGCTGAAATACACATGAAAAGCCAACAAAAACTCTCTGACTGATTAATTTTTTTGAGGTTTTGACTTCATCTGAGGAGCCCATTCTGTGTTTTTTCTGTGTTTTCTGCTGCTAGAAGCCCTGTGTGCATGTGAGATGGTTTTGAAGGTAAATAAAGGGTCTTTGTCAAAAGATGCAGATGAACTTACACCAATCGGCCACAACATTAAAACCACTGACAGGAACAATCTCGTTAGAACGCAGCATTCTGCAGGAAAACCTTAAATCCTGACATTCACGTGGATGTTACTGTAAACCAAGCTCACATACACAGACATCCCAGTTACTTTAACCCTCTGAAGGACTACGTCACCTCATCCTTTCAAACACCTCAACAACAAAGACGCCTCGTTCCTATTGGCTGTGCAGGTATACCTCAACAAGTGTGCCGAACTTTCGCCGCAGCTGCTTGAGCTTTCAAACCGTCGATGCGAGGTGCGAGTCATCGAAATAAACGGGTTTCTTACCACCGTTATGTGCCCTGTTCAATCCGATCTCCATAAAGTTATGTTCCCCTGACCGTATACCTGCTCGTCTCAGTTCCGGACTTTTCCTAAAATTCGTCAATTAATTTCTTCAACCTTCATTTAAATCTTGAGGAACCATTGAAGGTTTAAAAGCTTACAAAGCAATAAGATGTCAGTACGCTAGAATACTGAAATGAAATAAGTAAACTGAAAAAAGGCTGGAATACAACAGTAGAAAGTGATGTTGGCAGTTATTCTGACTTAATATTACACATGATGTGAAATATTGCACCTGAAAATGAGTTTATTCTCCAGTTTAACTACTGAAACCTAGTTTTGCATTTTTATGAGAAAATCGAGCTATTCTCTGCTCTGGAGCTTAAAATAAGTGAAAAATCCTAATGTAGGTAAATTTGGGCCAAAATCGCAGTCGGAGGAGTGGAACCGTAGTTATGTTTTATTAATTTAAGATTCTCACATTACCCGGTCGTGTATGGATCTGAACAGACACACACAACTATCGTCAAGCCTAAAAATGGGTTAATTACTCATCTAGTGGGATGAAAACAAAGTCTTTCTCATCTTTCTTTCTTGTCCGGTTGCCTAGCGATGTCTTTTCAGAAGCTAAAGCTAGCAAGACGTGGTCGATAAACTGGACTGTAAGTTGCTTTTTGGTCAACATTTGCTAATATTTTCAAACAATCGCTGAAAACGAACGACTTGGGTGTTTGGTGACAGCAGCCTCATCGGTGGTTTTAGCGTTCCGGATCCGGATTCTCTCACCTGTGTGAGACCGATCTGAATCCTGGACACACAACAAAAAAGGTTTTAAGACCCCCCGTTAGAAACGTCCAGCGACTCAATAGCCGACATTCCAGCGTACAGTGTACAATCGAGCCGCTTGGTCCCGCCGCTCAATAGCCGACATTCCTCCCTACAGTACACAATCAAGCCGTCTCGTTCTGCTGAAGTTTCCATTGTGTCAGGGCGGTTATTAGCCTCAGAGACAGACAGAGGCAGCCAGGAGAGGAGTTAGGGCTGTCCGTCAGCCCATAATGTCTCCACACAGCAGCCCAAACCCGAACTGACAGCATCACCACCGCTCTGACAGCACACTAACAACACACTATTGTTCCCTCGCAAACGGGCCGGCGCTCACCTTCCAGAGAGTTCTGCAGGAATCCAAACGCTGCAGGGTCCGTCCAACCGGGCCGACAGCATGCATGGGACGTCTTCATTACGGGTCGGACTCTATCACGGTATGTATAGTTTTACAAATGAACCCCGACTCTACCGACGGCCACTAAAACACCCGATAGGAAGCTTTTATAGATCTAAACGACCAACAAAGTACAGAATGAGAAGAATAATGGGATTTTTTGAACATTAAAGCAGCTAAACATGCTTTAGTCGACCCTAAAAACACAATCATTAACCTGTAGATGTGCAGAATCTCAGCTCTTCAATGCAAGAACCAGCCAAGGCGCCAGTTTTACCCAATTACCTCCATTTAAAACACAACTTCTTCACATGGACATCGACACTCAGCTGAATCCAACATCGAATATGGAACGAATGGAAAGAACACCATGAAAAACGCTGCAGTGCACAGCAACAAGCCCATAGATAAGACGCCCTAAGATGAAGATGAACTGTTGTACCTGAAATGTGAGTTTATTCTGTCTCATGCAACATTTTTCCAGAGTATATTGAGCGATTCTCTGCTGTACACCTTAGAAAATGTGAAAAACATTCATTTGGGCAGATTTGGGCAAACGCCAAAGCAGGACCGGTGGAACCACAGGTGGGTTTTGTCCAATAAATGTGATGTCGTCGTGTTGCTCGGCTCTGGACGGATTTAAATCGACACAAGCATCCTGAAGCAAACCCGTCAGCTGTGTCCTGTCGCTTTTTTTTTCTGCCTTTTCTGAGCAACACAAAAACAGAAGCCGAAGAAGAAGAAGGAGCAGCAGTGCTGAGGCAACAGTCTGTCCTCCCAGCGGACGCCTTCCAAAAATATCTGATCCCCTAAAGGCACGGTTCACTCAAAAAAGAAGTTCTTCCTCGGAGGAATCTCAAACAGTCCGACAGCACGCTGCTGTCAATACGCATCTGGTTTAATGAGCAGAATAACGAGAGGTGAAGACGGCCCGCCACGCCGAACGGTTCCCAGTTTCACTGTATCGTGTCATTTGTGCTGTTATTGCCTGACATTAACCTCACAGTTTGCTCTAACGGCCTCCAATAAAAGGCAGGAGGGTGTATAATGGAGATCCGACGACCTACGCTCAGCGCAAGTGGAGCATTTTTCTTATTTTTACTGATCCAGCCTTCATATCTGCAGAGCTCTGGTTGATTCCAGAGTGAAAACAGGAAGAGAAACGTGGAAACAGACGCGACACGAAGCGACGGAGACCTGCAGAGCGGAGTCGGGCTTCCAGAACCGGCTAGAATTACAACAAAATGTTGATTTTAAAGAACGAGAAGCTTTAATCGGTTTGAACACCGTGCACAGACGTTCCTACGTTGGCGTCAGACTGGTGCTTTGCTGTAGTTTTGTTAGATTTCAGCGTTATGGTGCCGTGAATTATTATTATTATTGAATCATATCAACCAAATCAAACTGTAAGATTTGAATGTTCAGGTTCCATAAACTGCATATAAACAGCTGTGAACATGTCTGTCCCAGGATGTTTTTACAAATTTAGTTTTTGGTGAAACAATCTCTTGTCTTGACCCCGACCATCCCCAGAACCAGAATCAAAAAGCAGAGTCCACGACACCAAACCCTGCCGCTGAGGCCTGGTGTGATCTCAGTCCTACCTTCTGCCGGATCTCCTCCTCCATCTTGATGGGAGAACCGAACTCGGCGACCTGTCGGACCCCCTCGCTGGCGTAGCCTCCATACTCCCACAGAACGTACTTCCTGGAGTGAGACGCTCCGATCAGAGCCGACCAGTGGTTCGCTCGTCCTGGAAGACGTTCAAAGATGGAGTCGGTCATTCTGAATTTTTCGTCAACGTCGGTACATATTACCTAAAACACCTGTCTGTTGTATGGTGTTGGTGCACAGTTCTGGTTCTGTAAATGGAAACCAGCGTGGCTCAGATTGATCCATTCAGCTCTACTGTGTTCATCTGAAGGAGCTGGAGGCCATGTTTCTCGCCTCACTCAGAGGAATATTTAAATCCTATTACAGCCATGAGTCCTTGTCCTCACAGCTTTTTGCTCGCTGGCTTACTGCCGACTAGAACCCAGTCTCTGGTCACATTTCACCAGCTGTTGAGGCTCTAACATCAGCAGAACCTGATTGGACCAGGAGAGGTTCCAGTTTTTTGTTGTTTTGGCTTGAAACCTGTTCACTCAAAATGCATCTGACATGAGTCAAATATTTTCCAAAATATGGTTAAAAAATGGTCCCAACTGACTCGATGTTGTCCAAAATGTCAA